ACTTGTTTTTTTTTTGTAAAGAGAACATGTTCAAATGTTCCCCACTGAAAAGTCGATACTGTACTAAACATTTATCATTAAACAAAGCCATTTTTATCATTATGAAACAAAATTTGTGAGTCATTTTTGTTTTTATTCATAACCTTTGAAATCTCATTTTATTTGCACAATTCTTATTGTTGACTACCAACTTTTGTGTAAATTAGCCTAAGTTCCTTCTGAAAATATATAAGTCACATTCAATGTAATACATATGCCTTGTTAAATATGCCTTAATTATTCTTAAACCTCTATCCCATTACCTTGTTACTTATAAACTTGTTATTTATATTTCAGTGAATGTTATATACATTGATCGTAATCAATTTCTTGTCCTCATATTCAAATGAACTTATTATTTTCAGATATAATAATTTCATATCTTAATTGTGAAACTATTTTAAACATGATCAATACATAGTCATTTATCATTCTCAAATAACTCTTCGTACAACTTTTTTTTTATTTGAAATTATCATTCGATTAATTTGTTTTAATATACGTTTATCACTTTTTGCATAGTTAGATTTTCGTTTACTAAACATTAAAAAAAAAAAGAGAGGATTGATTATTTCAAACCATTTAAATTTTCATTTACTCATAACTGGTTCTCACTTATTCATTTGTGTAGTCTGAAATATTAGAATTCTTGAAAAGTAGATAATAATATTTAGTATAAGGTAAATAGAGATTCTTTTACATTTAACAGAAACAATTTCTGGCATTTAGAATTAATGAGAGGGATTTGCTGAGAATGTATTATTTTTGCAGTTGAAGTCACGAATTGATCTGAGATAAACCATCATTAGAGACTTGGAAGTACTGGATGGTTATCTGGTTTTAGTATGCAACTCATAGAACCTGGAATCTTCGGTCTCAAGTGAGAACGCTTAACCTCTAGAGCAATTAGCCTCGATCCAATGGTGTTTATGTCTAACTTCAATTGATCCATGATGTCGCGTAACATTCACCCATTGTCTGCTGCGGATATATTATTGGATTTCTAGTGAGAAGTCGGGACCAATGGGGTTCAATGGGTATCTTGTAGACGACAGTTATCCGCCGCAGACAATGATGAAGGTTACGCGACATCATGGATGGACTGAAATTAGACAGAAACATCACTGGATCCCGGATTAGTAATCTAGAAGTTAGGCGTTTTCGCGCAAGACTGAGGGTTCCAGGTTCGATACCCGCACGCGGGGGTCGTGGATTCGCACTGCTGATGATAAGACCAAGTAGCCGTCCTTTGCTTCCTAAATTATAATGATGGTATTTCTTGGATCAATTCGTGACTCTAACTATGAAATAATTCTTCACTGACGACTGATCTTAATCTACAGCTGAAAACCAGGGAGTACTGGATGACTATTCATTTTTTATACGGGACTCTACAGCCATGTGAATACATTTCCCTACCAAGAGTGGAGCTCAGTGACTTTAGTTCTCGTTACAGGCACTCAACCTTCAGTGCAATGAAATATTAGCTATTGGTCTACATGGCAAACATCATCTAGTCCACCATCATCTAATGAAATTAGTGGATAATTCTACTCTCCGACTACATTTGCGAACGTTGCCTATTAAAAATTCTCACTAGAATACCGGAAATTATTTCTCAAAAACAGTCACTAATAAATACGTTAACATGGAGGCGTAACAAACAAATACGAAATATCTGTCCTGAGTTCTCAGGTCCTCAATGTTAGCTTAACTTACATCAATCAGTCTGTAGTGTAGACTATGAAATTAAAAAAATTTCATAACCAATCTTCTTTAGTTAGTTATTTAGACTAAGTGTCTTGTTTATAAGCATCTAAATTTAGTACATGGTTGACGTAAATTTTACTTTCAAAAAAAAACAATACCACGACAAATTTTATGGTTTGCATTTTTTTTCTTCTTTTGTTACATTACTGATAAGCTGAAATAATAAAATAAGTTTTTTATCAAGATAAAATATGTATGAAAACGTAACAAGCATGTATTGATGATAATAAAATTTGAAAGGCACTGTTTGATTTGTCAGTATTAGGATGATGAGAGTACATTTATTTGCAAATTTTACAAAAATCCTTGAGATTTATCTAACTTCTCCTTAAATCCTTATCATGAAACAGTATACTCTTCAACTAGATAAATAACAAACTGATACTAACTAGAATTTCAACATATTCGTCTAAATACTAATATGAATCCACTTGTCTAAAATGGAAATTGGAATTATTCAAGTATGATAGGTATCTATGAATAGAATATTCTGTACAAGAATATAGAAATAGTTAGTTATCTGGGGATTTAATTGTGAACTTCAAATGAACTAGAAAATGGAAACACTGAATAATTCAAATAGAAAATCCACAATTTTCCATTGTTCTCCATTCGATATCAGTTGATGACTAACTTTATGTCCAAATTGAGTGAATCTGTGAAAACTGTCCAATTTAATAAAAATCTTATGAGGGATTTGTGCAGACTGATACGTTTTATAGTTCACATCATGAACTGAACTTAATCGGCAAATCATTGAAAACTAGGAAGCACTAGACAGTTATTTCGTCTTAGCAGGAGACATCTTTAGTAGTTCACATACACATAATAAGTAAGTACTTACAATTTATGTGGTTTGAATGCGAAATTCACCGCTTTTTTAGAAACCAACAAATTCTTAATGTTTCATACAATCTGACTATAATGTGAAAGAAGAAAACCACTAAATCAGTATTGATAAATTTTCTTACTTATTTATCTACTAACAAGCAAATACCTAATAAGATTATTAATATCAATATAGATAATTAATCGAACAATGAACATGTCTGACGTCTCATTCTCTTTTAAACAAATGAACCGTGTAAAATTGAACATAAATCATAATAAAATCATATTAGACTCAATAATTAGAAACTATAATCCCAAACTATGCCGTAACTATTATTTGAACTAAAGAATTGAGACATTGCTCGACATATATAATTAGAATTATTAATAGTAGTATAGTTAGTATTAATATCTTATTCAGAATATAAGACATGCTAACAAGACCAAATATATATTCAGTACGTTAACATTCAATACATCAGAGCGAAATCTAGATATTAAAATCAATAATGCCTGTAGATTTCAGTAACTGAAATGATTATTGAAGAATATCTACGTAATTGTGCAGCATATGCAAAGATATTACTAAGATGTTTTAGAAATTTGAAAAAATGAATCATCACTACTTTCTAAGTGTTTCTTTTTATTGATTTATATTGATGAAAGTTATCGCTAGATAATCTGTTAACGGTCATTGAAGCAAACTTTACCATGAAAGATAATAAACGTGAATACAGTAAAACGTTAAGGAGTTTAAATGATATATACATATAATGAAAGTTAGACTCTAATCTGCAGTATTCAAAATCAACAAAAGACAACCAAAATTACTGGATAAAACTGATTTATTAAACATGAAAATGTTGTGGATCACCTTGATCTATATAATTATCTATTGTCGTTATATGTGATATTGTCAATAAGATTAAGTCTTAAACTACTTCAGATTGTTTTATCAATCATCTGCGAAATAGTGATCACTTAACTTTTATTAATATTATTCTCTACTTAATTTTCTTTGGAATGTAACTAATCATTTTGTGATTTGATTGCATTTTCAAATGAATAAATACAAATTTTCATTTTTTTTTTCATTAAATATTAACCATAGTGTTTCAGTATCGCTTATTTACTTACTTACGCCTGTTACCCCTAATAGAGCATAGGCTGCCAACCAGCTAATTATTTTTCTGTTTAGTGTTTTTTCAGCGAGTTGGATTTCTACGGGGTGAACTCGTAAACCGCATACCCGACCCTCCTCCTTTATCTGGGCTTCGGACAGGTAGTAACCCTAGTAGGGCTCAAGTAGGAGGGTTTTAGCATGAAAATTCATTATTCCCGATGGAGTAAAAATCATATCATTTAAAGACTCACTAGAAACTGCTAAATCCTTTTGATAACATATTTAATTAAACTAGTGAGTGATGTTTTCCTCGATCTCTCATGAAGAATGAATTTCCTTTGGTTTTTGCAGACACATGGTAATGAAAAATGCCGGTAAACACGATACATTAGTTGAAAGTCAAATATACACATTAAGGTGGATTTCTGTTGAATGATATCATTTATTTATTTATTTAAGAACAAACATTGATACCAAGAGGCACCAAAAAATATTTGCTCCACAAAACCATTGAACTTATGTGTGAGTTGGAATGTCGTCCGGGTATCCATACAGAAGCTGGTGGTTGGCTTATCAGGTCCCTTCCCGAATCTTCAGCCTAGTGGTCTGATCCAGAAGGTAATTAGGTAACGTCAGGGAATGATACTATATGGCCGCCAGTGATCAGGAATAGGATCATACGCCATTTATTTTATCAGGATCCTGGAGTTTATGTTCACAAGTGTTTTGAAACCAGAGTTTGCCAACACCCTTAGATTTATCTTCTGAACAAACTAACCAGGTTTAAGCCCTGCCAGAAGTTCACTTTTCGTCCTCTTAATTTCGTAACCAAAGGCTCCACCACGATAAGACAGTGAGTAGGACTTCCCTGACAGTTACTATACACGCGTGGCTATATCAGAGCTTTTGGAGATGGAGAGGGGACTTTCCCCACTTTCGACTATACCAGGGAGTTTGGGGGCAAATTCATTAAAATTAGATCTCAGTTATCATCATATCCAAATACTTAAACGAATATTTCCCATTCTCTGTTCATGCTCATATATAAATCAATACACTTTCATGATATGATGAATAATATTCCACATACTTTTGTATTGTCAAACATTTTTTTATTAAAATACTACTTAAAAGCTCTAAAAACATTCCATCTAGTAAAGGATGCTATTCATGGAATTAAGAAGTTAGAAAAAAATTAAAAATAAGTGTAAACCTTTACAATTATCAAGTACTAAACTTAAAGCGAAAAACGAACTCGACCATCGCATAATAAAACAATTAAAACACAAACTTTTATCTCCTTATAATCAAACTTCATGTTGATCGTAAAGTTTGAATGAACACAATGCATTTAAAGAAACAATAATTATAGAATATAGAAAACTATTTTTTTTTATTATTTCACAATGCTTACTTTACATACTGTAAGTTGTAAGTGATAATCACTTCCACCTTGAACACGAAAACCCCATGGTGAATCACTGGATGCACGTCTTAACACAATATTGACCGGTGCTGTCTCTTCTAATTTTTTCACGTGATTATTTCCACTTACACTAAAACTATTTCTAGTACCAGATCCTCCACCTCCACTGGTTGAATTGTTTCCAGTAAGTAAATCTAAAGCATTTGATAAGATAACATTTTGTTTACATGAATGCGTTGCATTATTCGACTGATTAGTATGTTTTATATTTGTATTAATTTTAGATAATGAATGTCCTGGTGGTTGACTAGCTACTGAACTAAAATATAAATTCATTATCAATTTGTTTTATATAAATATAATAATATGCAACAGATTAATCTTGTAGTTGTAAATTCTATTTCTTCCAATAACCCTGATCAAATCAGTGTTGTTTTAATGAACTGATTTTTTTGCGAATTCAATCAAAAGATGGTTTTTCTTTACTATTTATATTGTTAGTGTTTGTAAATGTATAGCGGGAAAAAAAATCAATTTCCAATTGTGACCTGAAACCACATTTAAAACAAACGATTCAAATTCTTATTTTGTAGATAGGTGTATATATATGTCTAACTAATATACATAGATGTTAAGTGAATATTTCTTCCTATAGGGCATTGAACAAATCGACCAATCTGTGTTTTGTAACCTTTCCTATTGGTTTATTCGCAAACAGTTGTGTGTAGATTGTGTATAGATGACAAATAGATAAATGTAAATATTTATGGATAAATTAAAAGAGGACAATCTATAAAGTATTTATTTGATAACAAAACAATTTTAACATAATTCTTTTGGAAAAGAGATATACAATAGATACGAAGATGGTGTAATTTTGAAGACAATATTACATTAGCATATATTGTAAGAGTTATATAGCTTACCTTCTAAAAGACAATATATACTGGGCGAAATATCACAAAGGATACGAGGTATGATAACCTTGACTAACAGTAAGCTAAGCTTTAACTACATAATTTTGATTTCAATACATTTGGAAGTTGTTATAAAATTGACTGCAGTAGACGGCACGACGGATTATGTCAACTCTGCATCTAGATGCGATCAACTGAGATCGAGCTCAACGCTTGTCAATATTTAGTTCTTTATTCTAGATCAACTGTTTTATTAATGTCCTCGTTGTGAATACCAAACGAGGTAAACTGAGGAGTAATTGTATGTCAAATCACTAATTAATGTGATAAAAGATATAATTCCGTAACATTAAAATTATGAACCGATCACTGTTAGACCAGTGTTGAAAACCTGGAAGAACTGGATAGCCATTTCGGGAGCCCTCAGCTGTACATACCTACGATTCCACACGCGGAGATTGTTTACAATTCAACCACAATTTGTAATATTAAACAACCATTACTCAATGCCTAGAGAGATAACTCTCATGCCCTCGACATGGCTGAATTCTAGGAATCACCTATCGAGATTATTCACCACTGAACACAGGAATAAAGTATATAGGGTTTGTGAAGATCGAAATTTCCAATTTACATTACACGTATCACCTATGGTTAATTTATCTAGTTTTAGGTACTGATTGACGTATTTTCTTATTTTGAAGCTTATTCTGAGCATGAAGAGCAGTTAACTGAGGAGTGATTATTTACTAAGTTGAATAAGATAGTAGTTATGTCTTGGTCTCGGAACATTATGCATCTTTACCAGCCTATAACTCCATATTGACTAGAAAGTATAATCCCGCAACAAACATGAAATTATTCAGTTTGAACTTCGATCAATTCGTAATACACTATGATGATTATCAAAATGATTTGGTGAGTTCTTGTTTGAAGTTCATAAACACTTAGAATAAGTTTATTTGTTCGCTCAACATTTCCTCAACGTTTATTAGTATAGATTTTACAACCTGGAGCAATAAAAATGCCTATGATGCATTGCTAAACATCGATTAATAATCAAAAGTATGAATGCAATTGTATTTCACTGAAAAAAGAAAAATTCTATTCAACACTTTTTTTTACATCAATTGAAATTTGATATATCGCCTTCTTGATAGATTTTCTTACAGAATTATTTTGTAATAAAATGTCAATATATATTTTAACATTTTAATTCATAAAACCCTCTAATATATTTATTGCTGCATGATATTTTGGTTTTTTTTACCTTGAATAATCTGATAATAAATTTAATTACAACTAAATTAAATTAAATATTACAGATGATACAAGGTACAGCGACAATTTTTCATTTGAATTGATCACCTTGATTGTCACGCTCATCTCTAGGTTTGCTTAAACTATTACGAGTTCATCTTAGTCGAATTACGGGAACAAAACAATGAACTAGCGTCCAGGTATGCTACTGTGATCCGATTGTCTCAATTGTATCAGAAAAAAGTCTTGATATAGTGTAGAAGTGTATTCTACAAATACCCTGCCAGCACACAATGAAATCAAGCACTCAAATTGCGTTTATTTATACCCCACAGAGACGTCTTTGGGACAGCCACAAAAATAGCTCACTAAAATGACACAGTAACCAATCACGGTCAAGGATTTTCCTAGTAGGAAATGGGATTTCAAGGTCAACTGATCAGTCCATGAAATAAATCCAAAATAAAGATATTTATCAAGCGAGTTCTGGGGATCTAACATCTCCAACATTGATGGAAGACAAATTTTTGTAGCTTTAAGAGTTGATAGATTTTTTTTTAAAAAAAGATTATGTTTGTCTGTTCATTAATTTTCTCTATCTATCAATTAATTATCTTGAGTTTATTCTGTACTGTGTTGTTTGAAAATTTTACAAGACCAGTACTGTTGTTATTTTATATGATTTGAAGTATGATTATTATTATTGTGTGTGTGGTAGTGGTTCACTAAGTCATCACCAACATAGAGCTTGGTACAGATTTTAGTTAGCCAAAGTTGCCACATTAGTTTCATACAAAGAGATGAAATTAATAGGATGAATAAAAAGAGAGTTAAAATAATTACAGTGACAGTTATAGTTAACCAGATTAAATGTTTAGAATAAAGATTCAAAAAGATTAAGTGAAAAGGTATGTGTGAATGGAAAATTGAAGCTTATGATAAAAAGATGAGAATGAACGCATCTAGGTCACTGGTACTTATTCAGTAATTATTTCTAGAGTTTAATTTATTTACCTGAATGTATGCAAGCAAGTAATCAATAGCAAAGTAGAACTTCGTACGTACGTACGTACGTACATCAGTTCATGTTGCCATACCACATACGCACAGAGATGTAATTGTCAATTCAGATCACATAGTAGTAGAGGTAGTGGAAGAATAAGCAGTAATCGGAGAGATTGGGGTTCGAAGTAGAATCTAGTAAAATAAACTCAAAAAGAAAAAGACAAAATTGATGAGGAAATCCGAAGGTTACGATTTGAGAGAACACAAAGAATGAATGAACCTGCGCCATTCCAAAAGATTTTCAGCCATGTCATTCAGGGTCTCTAACCATCGATTACTATTTTCTCGCCGGCCCCAATCAGAAAGTCGACACCTTCAACATGGCTCAGTTCACTTGTCAGTATTAAAAACATAGTTTTTCTTATTAACTTGAAAACAGTAAGAACAACAATCCATCCCTCTAATACAGAAGCACTAAATATTCAAATAAAATATGTTTATGAAAAATTTTAAAAGGTCTGGAAAAGGTCACAAAAGAAAATAGAACGAAGTGTTAAAAAATGTCTGTTTCTTTTTACATATATTACAAATTTAAACAGTGGATATAATTTTACAACTTTAAGTTATTGTGTATTCGAGGTTTCATTATTATCCTGTGAATTTTTTGTAACATTTCGATCAATAACTGGATTTGAATCAAGTGTAATAGTAACAGGTCCATCGTTAATAAGACTAACATCCATCATTGTGCCAAAAATTCCATCTTTAAGGAAAAAATAGAATTTAATTAGAGAATGCCAAAAAACAAAATACTGATGATTAGTTTCTAATGAAATAAAGTTCGCTGATATAAAACGGTAGTTCAAAATATGTTACATTTTCAGAATGCTTAACAAATATGTTTTAAAACCGGAATGTACCGGGTATTAATAAAACTTGAAACTTCTACAAATACAATTAGAACTAACAGTCAGATAGGTTTTAGGAATAATTCAGAAGAAACATATTTGCACAGTAAAACGGTCCTATATATATATATATATATATATATATATATATATATATATATATATATATATATATATATATATATATATATATATATATATATATAGTTTATTATAAATACCTCATCATCATGAAAGAACGTCTTCCGGAATATGGCATGTACTTATAGTTGGGTTCACTATACTAGTCGGTATAATACATCATCTGTAATCTGGCAGTATCTGATTAAAAATCTTTTTAACCAAGTGTGTTTCATTTCATTTGTTCTCATCATCATTAATATCATACCAAATAAACAACCTAAGGTTATGGTGATTGCTGGGAGGCTAGAAATTCTTGAATGTAATCCAGTTTGAGTTGATATTGAAGAACCTCAAACTAGAAAGATTAAGCTGTCGCATTAACGTCTTGAGTTCGATCTCAACGTTGTGTCTACTATCACGTAGATGTCAAGCAGTTCAACTTATAAAGGCAGGTTGACCTATCAGCACGAAAACAGGATTCTTCTCCTCTGCAGCACTTTCTGTTACTTTTATTCTTATATTCTCATATTTATTGGTAAACTCTGGTGAATAACCATTGTTCTTTAGACACTCCAGCAATGATTGATTTGCCCTCAATCCTGTCCTCTCTGAACATAATTTCTGTACTCCATTGAACGGAGTTCTAACTAAAGCATGTTTAGACCTTAATGGACAGAAACTATTAAGATTCAAATAAAGTCTATTCCAAATGCCCTTTAGATGAATAAATCTGTGAATTCGACTGTTTTCATTAGTTTAGATACCAAGGTTTAGAAAATGAAACTTATTGTCTTGCCCATGCTCCATTGTAGATCGCATATATGCTTGAGAGAATTCAGAATATTGGGAGCGTGTTCGTGATTATTGTAAGCAACAAATGTGTCGTCAATATGCCTGACATACAAGGCTGCCTAGGTAATTATCATCCTTATATTTGTCTGTTCCAAGTTGGCCACAAATATATCTGCCAAATTTAGACATAGCAGACTCTCCATACCGACTCCATCGACTTCGCAATATAAGGTATTGTTGAACTGAAATCGTACATATTTGTACACATTAGTAAGAACTGTTTGAAGCACTTTCCAATACTTGGATAAATTGGAAGGAGTCTTTCAAACTATGGACAGCCAGTTGTGAATGAATTGGCTTTAACTGCTTCTCGTATCAACGTGAGAGTTTATGAAATTGAGAACTAAACATTCAAAGTATTGGTTTAACCGGTCCAGCAGGTTCATGTATTTTGCGTAGCCCATATAGATGAGGAAGCCTAGATCCTCTAGGTCTCAGTTCATTATGTGTGTTATTGTCAATTAATTTCCTTTTCAGATCTCTTAACAGTTTTGTAACGTGTCTCTCAGTGGCTTCAGTTATTATTTTTTTCTATTATCAATGCGGAACTTTTTTAAATCATCTAGAATTACCATAACTATGTTTACGTACATATTATTGTCCATTATAACTGTTCTAGCATCCTTATCAGCTCGAAAGATAACAATTTTATCATTTTGAATTGAATTTCGTAAGGGCTGCTTGGTGATCTTTAAGATAAAACTTTCAAATGTGGACTTTTTGATGTCATGTATTGACTCACTATATCAACTAATCGAAATTTCAACCACACATATTTTTGTTCATTTGTTTAATTAATAAGATTATATTTAGGTGTTACGATATCCATCCAATATCGTAAGATAATTGTTTGTAAGTCTAATTCTATTGGTAAAGTCCTATCAATGTCACATGCTTCAAATGTTGTTTCTTATTGGTCGTCCTAACTGTCAATGTCACAGACTTCAATGTTGTTTCCTATTCGACCTAACTGTATAAATATGCATTATCTGTAACGTTTTATGACCCGGACCCGGATCCTTAGCGCCGATCCTGATTCTCTTCTGGACTCGGACCACGTACTTTTTGGATGTCTGTAGAATACACGTTCTACTTCATATTAAGTCTTCTTCTTTTACTCAATGGGGGTTTAAGACGCTCGGATTAGAGCAGACTGTCGTGTTGCCGAATCATCGATCCTCGCTCTCGTTTTCCGACTAAGGTAAACTCATAATAGTTCAAATTGGCGTGTTTACGTGCATTCGTAACATTAGGTTGTATGCAATTGATGAGAAACCGCGAAATAAAATAGATTATTCTTATTTTTATGTGTTTGTTATTCTTGCTCCATTTAAATTTATTTAAATATTCAAAGAAAATAAAAATAATGTAAAAAATGAACAGAAATGAAACGGTTAAATTATGAACTTTCAGTAGTTATAGAAAACCGTAGGAGACAATGGGCAACTGTTCATTTTTTTTAAATTTGAAAATAACTACTGATCAAAAGGATAATCTGGAAATTCCATAAAAGTTTAAAGCTGGAATCATAGGATCTCAGGAGGTGCATGACACTTATAAACTGATAATTCAATATTAAATGATTGATATTCTCATTTTTCAAATCAAGAAAACCTTCATCAATCTGTCTTAGGAATCCATAAATATCTTTTAATCAAGTCTGTCTGAGCCCAGAAAAGGCTGACTTCATCTTATCTCATCAAAATTGATTAGAAGCTTCTAGGAAACAGATAGAAAAACGAAGAAATATGTGTCCTGTTTTGATAGGATAGTTTATTTTGTTGCACTAGTTCGCATATTCTTAGAAGTTTCTAGAAGAACAAGGCTATCCAAAAATCTATAGGCAAACCATATTTTCTGTACATAGATCAACCTTGAAGTAAAGCTATTAATAATAGTTTGCATCTTTTCTCTATTTTTCGAGTTTAGATGTAGTCATTGTTTGCGCACGTAGTAAGCGTGGGCTAGGGGGTCAGTAACAATGGTTCAAATAGAAGATTGATCAAACCAATGTCAGCTTATTGCCTTTGAAATGGTATAAACTCTTTATGAAACTAATTTGATATTCCTTAAGTGTGATCTACAAATAGATCCAATAATTAACTAACTAGAGTTAAATAGGTAAGCCAATGAATGAGAGCTCAGCAGTTCATAGGATCGCTGCTGAAGGTCTAGAGTTTTATTCCTGCCGACATCGTGGAAGTTGCATTATCACTAAGGACTCCCATTTTAGAACAAAACAACTCTCCAGTGCTCCCTAATTTTCAATGGTTTTTCCACCTAAGTCAATCTGTGATGCAAACTATGCAATATTTACCAAGAATTAGTGTACAAGTAGAAAAGAAATTTTATTCTTATCTCTCTAATCACCTTTGACTTTTTCTTCATTATAATTCTTCTGTAATCGATTAATCAATTGTGAATAGATTTCTTTGGATAATTTTGGATCCATAGCACAATGGAAATCCAATTTATTACCTTTTAATTCACTATACAATGTGAACTGAAAAAAACAAACGAAAAAAGAATAAAAGTGATTTTATCTGGTTTACCAATTATTGATTGTAAAGAATGCAAATATTTGTATACATTGAACAGATTGTTAAGTATGGTATATAAAAATCAGGAAAAATGTTCACACATTGAATAAATTAAAAAAATGTTTTAACTTCAATAGTTGAAGCAGTAGAAGCTCTGTGAATTAGAAAAATTGAAAAAGATTATAGTTTAGGAATTAGACGGTAAGAGGCATGGATACAGTGACCGTAACGAGCTAGAATTCAACCTAACAATTAAAGCTCAGTTGATTTGACACTGAACGACCTACAGTGTCAACATTGACCTGTTGTTCATAATATTTAAGGATATCCATTTTTCTGTTTATAATTTGTGATATAAACATGTTGTTTTATGAAAAAAGCGAAAATCTATTCTACACCCTAGTGATCCTGCATATGCTTTCAAATCATGCAGGAGTCTTATGTTTAGCCATAACTTGGTAACGTCTCATTAAAGCATAATATTTCCTGAACGGTATTCTTTTCTGTCATTTTAATAATTGAAAATGTGTCCAGAAAACCATAAAACTCAACTCCATCAAAAGTAGTAGAAACATAAGAAAAGTCAGTAAAAACAATGCAACTGTAATACAAGGAGGAGATCATATACACATATTTGCATATTAAATAATGATTTATTTATATATTTAAGTAGATGATTGTTAATAAAAAGAGGAACCTGATAACATCTGCGTTACACAAATCATTCCATTTATGTACGGGTTGGGGTTACTACCTGGGTGCCCAAACCTAAGAAAGTCACTCCTCGAGATTGGATCGAGAGGTTTAATTTACAAGGCGATGAAGCAACGTAAGGAAACGTAGTCCCATGGTAGTCGGTGACCAAAAAAAGTCCATACGTTATTGTTGTTCCAGGATACTGGAGCTCATATGCTCCACTGGTTTGAAATCAAGAATTTTCAACCCTACAGATAGATCATCTACACCTACTAACCAGGTTGAAGCCCCGGCCGTAAGAAGGTAGTGAGTAGGACTTCCTTGGCAGAGGATAGATACACCTGGCCATTTGAGAACGTATCGAGGAGAGCGGAATCCCTCCATTCTGCGTCATACCAAGACATTTGAGATATATTAAACCATACTAACCATATTAAACAATAAATATGAACTAATGCTCATCAATACGATGGTCCTAAACGATTGTACAGATCTATGTAAACACAACTACATGTTACAAAGAACCACTGATATAGGTACATAGGAATCAGTTGAACAAGTAATCTAGTAAAACAGCCAACAATCAAAATCACTCGTCATATGATCTTTGGTCTCGGAGCTATTATTTTTAAAACATGATTTACTGATAAAAGGTGTAAGTGAATAGAAAATGTTGAAATACAAAAAGGGGAGATCAATTATAAAAGTATCAAATTATGCCAACATTAAAACAGGAGGAATTAAACTCATTTAATCAGTTTTCCATCAACTATTTGTCTGTGTAAAAGACCTGTACTTTAATAAAATTAGATGACATTAAACTTCTATAGAATATAAAAAGATGTTGAATGAATTTCCAAGTGTTCAAATATCATGAATTTTTAAACAAAATGATGACTTGTTGATGATGTCACTGAAAGTAGCAGGCAGGAGAACTTAGATCTATGTTTTTTGCTTGTTGATATTCTTCAGTAAAACGTACCTCTAATCTTAAGGGAACTGATGTTTCTTATGGTATTCCAGTCCGTATCAACCAGCATATATTCGGAGACGTCAATACTGAGTTATTTAGGCCTCAACTGACCTCACATATGACCGAGATATTTACGATCGTCTAATTACTGAATAAAGACCAACGTTATCCTTGTATAGTCATCTAGTGCTTATTAAATTCTATAAATCGAATTACATTATGATAACTAGTCTGTATGACTCAATATAAGCTGCACTACGTTGAGATGTTCGGATGTTGAAGGGGGTAAATTTCATTCTACAATTAATGGATGATTTAATTTTCCTATGTATTTTTCTGAATGAAAACAAAAACTCAAAAAATTACAATCAAAATAATCGGGTAAGATTTTCAAAAGGAAGAAAACCTCATGATTTTTATCCTAGCCTCACTTGTTAACTAAAGCTAGATTTTTTTTCGTTAAACAAACATACTAGTATATATTTAAAGATGAATGATATTCAGAAAAGAAAATGTAGTTATCTAAACCGACCAATCTAAATAAGTATATAGTATGGTATACATGTATTTATAGGAATGTAAATAAAAATTGGGTTTGTAAAAATTGTTGATGGAAGGAATGACTAGTCAAATATAAAGAACGGTATGAACTTCAATTTATAACCATGGGAAGTAAGTTTTCAATAAATTTGTATTTGTAGACAATGAGCAGTAATAATTGGTTTGGAGAAAGTTGATACTCGTCATCAAAGTGAACATGGAATCCCAGTATGGTTTAAATCTTCAACACGTAGAGACATTACCATTGGGAAATCCCAGTGACAAAAAGTGACAAACAGCACAAACCTTAAACATTTTGAGGATTGTCTCCAATCACCAACTCTTATCAAAACATAATGCACATGCTACTGGACCATTTATACAAGTTACTTCTACATGAAGTAGGTGTTGACGATGTTGTTCGTAACCACAACGAAGTTTCAGAGAACTCAGTAACATCACTAGAAGCCTCATCGTAAGTTTATCCATCAACAAAAAAAACACGGAACTGGTTATTACTCAGCAACTAAAAAGAATACATTTCTAATTTATGTAAACGTTGTAGCTATTTTTCAGTGTATACACAAGTCTCATTCGCATTTATGGTAGTTTAGAGATTTAAGCTATCCACTTTCAATTGTTGGTTCCCAGGTCAGTCGTAACATATAAAGTGTTACTCAAGGCCAAATATGTAGTTCACAAATTAATGACAGAAAACTAAATCTAACCAGTACTATTTCACAAATTCCATTCCTACAAAATGATAGCGTAGAATTTAAATATCTGTCAAATTATCTGATCATGTGTCATTCTGTGCCTACCATTCATATAAACATCATCTTTAGTTCGTATAACAGTACAATTCAGGCAATTTGCAATGATAATTTCAAAAATTTCACCTCTGTTCACATAACTATTTACATACTAAACGTAAAAACGCAATTACAAAAACTTGCTAACATGAATGTAAACTAAAGATTTTTTCGGTTATATAAGAACCAGAAATTAAGCTTAACAAATCACACTACTCAATAAGCCTTTTCAGTAGGTCGATATGCCGACCAAAATGTCATATGAACGAATACGATATTCATTTGATGATATGTAATGATACAATGCAAGACTGAACAGTTGACGTAAGGTCAATAATGAACAAATATATGAAGATAAGGCAGCTGTCCAATAGATCGTAAGCGCTTTCTAAAAAAATTTTAGCTTCAAAAACAAGCACGGTTCGGAGTTAACCCAAACATAGACAAACGAAAGACGAAATTCCAAAGTCAATGAAGTTGAAACTTGGATATTAAGTTACCTTCTTTCATTGGATCGATACGCAAAATCTTGACGAAATTAAACATGAAACGAGGGATTTTTCGAAGTACAACAAATTCTAGTCCTCTGAAGAAACGTCATAGACGACATTTGCGTAAATCACACTAACATAATACTCTGAACCAAAAGATTGTAAAAGATTTCAAAAAACAGAGTATACTGAAACAGCTATTAAATACTTATGCTAAATACGTGAAAATAGTGTGAGAATACAAAAACGAAATTCCTTACTTGGCTAACACAAAGAATTTCCAAATCTAAATCCTTGACACTTTTATCCCAACGACGTGTACCATCTGGAGACGGGAATAAACGAATGTTCAATATTTTTCTAACACTATAAACATTGAAAATGAGGAAGAAACTTAGTTATATAATTTTTTAAAAACTATTCTTAGAATGAAAATAAAAAACTATATTATTACGAAACCACAAGTTGAAGTGGTTTTATGAAAAAAATAATCTATTAAAAAAGGGAGAGAAATCGATCAATTGAAGTTCTTACTATCAAGAACGGATGGATTCAAACTCCTGCAAGTGATATAAACAAACCTATCAGTCTAATAAACATGAAAAATACATGAAAAGATCGGTACATTAAGCTAACATAAACTCCCATAGTATATGAAATGCTTTGATGCCATGACATTTTTAGCTCGTTAAGAAAGCCGAAAAGAGGATGAATTTGCATTTCTCGAACAATTAATTATCGTACACCTAATAGTTTAACCTTAAATTCTTTGTTGCAAATATTCGAGTATGTATGTAACTATGTATGTGTGGATGTATTTAGCACAGAGAAGCGTGGATGCATAAGGAATATACAGTTGTGCAACTTCCCACATTTTTATCATTTGTATGTAATATTTTAGTCTTATTGAAGTGATGAATATTTACAGTTTGGATAGATACTTTCATGATAACACGTTTTCTGAGCAATATGGTTAATTTTTTTTGAAACCATGAATCGATCAATGTTAGACGACCATTAGAAACCTGGAAGCACTGGACGGCCGTTTCGTTCTGGTATGGGACTCATCAGCAGTGCGCATCCATGACTCCTGCATCCCGCAGGATTCGAAACCCAGGACCTTCGGTATTGTAGGGGAACACGCCTAACCATCGGACCACTGAGACGGTATCTAACGGTGTTAATGTCTAACTTCGATCAATTCACGGAGTTGCGCAACCTCATACACAGTCTTCCGTAGTTACTGTCTACACCCGAACAGGTTGAACTTCACTGGTCACGTCTTCCCACTAGAACTCGGAGAAGATTCCTCACCAAGCTAGTCACTAGTGAGCACAGGTAATTTGCATTACGGGGTTGTGAAGATTGTTAAAATTTTTTGAAACCATGAATCGATCAAAAACTTAACAATCTTCACAACCCCGTAATCCAATATGGTTAAATTGTAAAGTTTTTGTTGTCGGTCTGAACACTCATTAAAGCCTTCTTCAAGTATACGTAAGCTTGTAAAGCTATTCCACAAGTGCTAATAGGTCTGTTCTGATAACCTTTCACGTGACTGATAAATTGACACAAAGTATTTTATCATTAAATAACCTTATCATTTCGAAAATTTTTGTTCAGTTGATGCCTGATTACCTGACTAGTTGACCTTTCCTTATAGATTGATAAGTCAGACCAATAATATATATCCACTGAATTGGATATTAGCATGTATACCACGCTTCCGGAAATTCCTTGAAAGGTTTACAGTCTTCTAGAAACAAAATTTTAACATTTCTCTGATCGGATTCGTTTCTGTAGTTATCGGAATGCATACAAGCGGTCGATTGATTTACTGAAACGTTGTGTAAGTATGCTGAAAGGTATCCAAAGTGAAACAATCTGTCATAAAAAATGAATAACCTACTCATCCAGTGATTATATTTTGAAGATAATATTCTTAAAATCAAAACACGTGAATAATTCAACTTGATGCAGTGAAAAAGTAGTATGTTGACTGTTAAAATTTCCATTGACTCGTTTGTGAGTTGATACATTATCAACTACATAATTACAGATTTCATTTTAAAAGGTTTCACAAGTCTTATTTAATTAACAGAACAAATGGTCAAAATTCATAAAGTAAAAGGAATCTACGAAATAAATGTTATCATACATATACTCCATATCACTTTCTGTATCTCGTCTTGATAAGCCAATGAGAACAAGTATTCCACGACCAATTTGACTGACAACTGAATCATTTACTAAATTTTAAAGAAATTTTTAAAAACATTTATTAGGATTTTAGTTAGTCAACAATAAAACTGATTTCGTATTTCGAACATAGTATTAACATTTAAAACAAGTTTTTTTCATAAAACCGGACGAGTAAATACACAGAACTGTTTTGTTTTAATAATGTGGGAGGTCTGTAGAGATCTTTGAAATTGGACAACTGTCAAGAATCAGGAGGTGGTGGACAGTTGTTTTCTTCTAATAAGCAACTTTGCAGCACTGTAGATCCACGACTCCATGTGGAATCGAATCTAGGACCCTGAGGTCTCGCCAAGTGTATAACTTTTAAGTCAGTAAATCAGCATCCTATGGTTTGTATTTCCGATTTCAGTTAATTTACAATACGACACAACTGTCTAATTACCCAGTCACACAAGTGATTTAAAGTGTGACTTCTGATTCAGTTGACTTCACTAGGTAAGACTTCATACTAGATTGTCGATAGAGATCAATCTCGGAACCAGAAATAACTGATTATGAAGTGAGTATTATCATTAATTTCAATGTTTTACGTTAGCTGAAAATCACTGAAAAGCAAATAGTATCAGATATCTGTTTGGTTATAGATTGAAATGTCTCAACTATATCAAGTACGATTCTTACTCTTAACATACACATCTTTGTGCGAAATATCAAAGCAAATGATTAATTATGTAACTAACAATATTATACTAGGTAGTGATAGATTACTCAATCATAAGAGAATCGTAATGAATTGAAATTAAAACTTTAAATAAAAATTAATTAATCCATTTAAACAATAATAGAAATACAATGATTTAGATAAGATGAATGATCATATTATGTATTGTAATGAAATTTTTACATGAAAACAAAAACTAATTCACAACATACCCCTGACAGATGCTTGTTTAACTCGTTGTATTACAGCACGCATTGCTTATACAAAGAACAATATCTAAATAAGGAGAAATGTTATTTGATATTTTTGTTGTTGATCTGTTAATACAATTTATTACAATAATTGAAATATTCATTTCGTCTTAGTTTCCATGTAAAAACACTGAATAACTATAGAGAAATGAACAATACGATTGGTTAGATGGAACTTTGCCCAGTGAACTGGTTAGAAATCAAAATTAGGGAAGTATGTAACACGTATTGATATTTGTTACTGTGTTAATATAATAGAACATTAGAACGACGTCTTATAAAAGTTGAACGTGTTTCCTTGGGATAAATCATAGTTCTGATTTATTAAGTCTCAAACGGTATCTAACCACTTGATCATATATCAGGAAAATCATTGTGAATTTATATCTAATTTATAACTGAGAGAATTCATTCAGAAAAGAAAATGAAAGATCTTTAACATCATCTAGGAATAATATTATTGACTGTTGTACAACAGTAAACTACACTTCGAATAATTGTACAAGATCTTTAAACCTAATAGCAAATCATATGTTTAACAAAGTATGAGAATATTTTTTAGTTTGTCATTAATAAGTTGACATTGATAAAGCATCTTAAAATCGTTTGATATTAACTAACGATACACTAAATACTTCATAATTATTAGACATGAAACCTTATTAAATCATGTCAGTCACAAAAATCAACCTACAAAGTGTTAATCAGTAAACTGGTTTGTTTCTTTTTAATAATTGACTGTTAGTCAAAAGTTGGTAAAATCTCATACTGTAGTATACTTCTGTTGCGTATGTAATACCAATGACATAAAGATATTTGCTTCAGTTAAATGCAATGGAGAAAATACACATGTGAATATTTAAAAGTTTGATTTTATGACTGAAATGTAATTTTTATCGTCAGTCAAATACAATCAAGAACTTCGTACATACGTACATCAATTCAAGTTGTCATAACATAATAGCACAGAGTTGTCAGAATTGTCAATTCAAATCACATGGTATTAGAGCTAATAGGAGAAGCAAATCTTACTTCAGGAGTCTTGATCTAATCACATAACCATCAATATAATTAAAGTTTGTTCCAATAAAAAATATTTAAACGTTTCTTCCCATCAAAAAGACAAATCAACCAGTAATTGTTTATTTTAAGTAATATTTATAACAAAGAATGCTCTCATGTATTAGATTATAGAAATTCGTCAAAATGTTCTAGGTACTGATCATTTCTTAAATTTGATAACATTGTAAAATTTGGTTCTTGTTAGCGGTTGCGTTGCATTTACACGTATGAATTAATGAAAACCTCCAGGAAATCAAGAGTCTGAGTTTTATACTTTCGAATATCCATCAACATAGAGTAACTCATGTCTGGGACAAACTGTTGCTTTTTTATACATTCAAGTCCATCTCAGCAACTATAAGCCATAGAGGTTACCTAAAAATGATTCACTGGGAAGAAGAGACTGCTGCAATATGCTTTGAAAATGAGGTTTGAACACGAAACGTAATGATCGGGAAAACGAGACCTAAATAAGCGCTTACATAACTACACTGTCAACGATCTTTAGTGTTATACAACTAACTGGAAAAGAAATATATTAAAGTAAGCCGTTTGTACTTATTTGAACACTATTTAGTGGTTTATGTACTCGATTTTCAACACATAAAATACAAGTTTGAACGGTATTATACGTAAATCGGTTTAATCAACCAGAGAGTAGTAAAAACGCTTACACAATAATATACATACATGAAATTGTGGCTCAAACTTTGAGTACACAATCAGATGATGGATAAATGATTTAGATTTAACGAACTAAATAAGATTTCCATTAAATCACTCTTCAACATATGGAATAATCTTTGTAAATTTGTATATTAAAAAACAAAAATATAAACACAATTGAATCTCTAAATAGTTTGATTTATTTAATATTGACTTTGTACAGCGAAATAAATACAAATATATGAGTAGAAAAAAATAAATCAATTAACTAGTATACACAAAATTAGATAGATTCTTTAAAATATTTCTTGCTTCATTGAACTGTACTGATTTGTTACGACCTTTAGGTGGCCATACAGACTGTAAACGATTCACTGCTGATGACATGTCATGTAGGCATTTAGTTATGACAGCATCATCCTTATCACCGTCAGCATGAATATCACCGCCATTATTATTGTCAACATTAAAACAACAATTAACTGAAGGAGTTTGGTTCAATTGTGGTGAACAGATGATATGTTTAGTTAAGCAAATTGAATCAATTTGCTATATGAAGTAACATAAGAAATATATATAAAACAGAGAAATCAGATCGAAGTGAATGACACTGATAAAAGATTTACAATTGATAAATATAAAAATAAGCATTCTTCACAATCTTCACAACCCCCTAATACAATTACCTATGCTCACTGGTGACTAGCTTCGTGAGGAATCTTCTCCGAGTTCTAGTGGGAAGTCATGACCAGTGAAGTTCAACCTGTTCGCGTGTAGACAGTAACTACCTAAGACAGTGTATGGGGTTGCGCAAGACTGTGGACTGATCGAGGTTAGACATTAACACCGTTAGATACCGGTTCAGTGGTCCAGAGATTAGGCGTTCGCACGCAAGACTGAAGGCCCTGGGTTCGAATCCTGCGAGTTTCAGGAGTCATGGATGCGTACTGCTGATGAGTCCCATACCAGGACAAAACGGCCATCCACCGCTTCTAGGCTTCTAATGGTGGTCCAACATTGATCGATTCATGATTTCAAATCTTTATCTAATGTACGAAGGAATATAATCATCTATATTTATCAAATAAATAAGTAAAAGTCAATAATTAAATACATGTTCTTATACACGGAATTTGAGAAGGAGAATAGCAATACTTTTTTTGAAAAACAGAAGTATGAGATTTATACACACATTTATGAGCTACAGTCTACACTACTTAATAGTTGAGTGAATTGATATAGGAGAACACAAGAAATTTTTTTAAAAAAAACCTTACATTTCGCAATGATTTGAAAATATCTTCTCCAGTTTGACCAGTGTTCATTTCCAATTCATATTGAATTACATTAGCCTTCAGTTGTTCAAACTATTTCCCAAAATGAAAGAAAAAACACACATGCACATGCGAATCAAAATGTTAATATTATTTTGACAATTTATATACTATCCTATCACTAGTGTTATTTTAAAGTTGGATAATGGAGTTCGACAAAAGTTTCGTTTCACTTGGAACTTACCAGAAGATAAGGTGCTTACTTACATTTCAGTGTCAAAATTCACATTGAGACACTAAGTCAGTAGTATCAATCACTTTAAAGTTCTACGCATTATTCACTGAAGTAATAAGTTCAGACAGACAATAATTTATGTAACAAGTATGAATTTTATTTCCACAGGTTTATATTTTATCGTTGTCGATGTTTATTAGAGAGTGATGAATTACAGTGATTAACACTAATAACGCGAAGATATAAACCTTTACAAATAGTAGTAGTAATATTTTCATTATCAAGTAGCACATCATAACAAGAAAAATTACTGAGAAACATACATACCGTATTGGAAAGTTGTTTTTTGTTAGTCTGGCACTCCTTATACCAGAGATAATTTTACACTTTCATTCTCATAATAATCACTTGGGTTATAAGAATAAAAATTTAGTTATCCTAAGAAAAGTTACACAGTCGATTGCTAGTTCTTTTTATCAATCTCAACATTGATCCGTATGCATAGATTCATGACACTTTTGATAGTAAACTTCTAATGTGCTATTTAATAGACTGTACAATGAAATGAAACTAGTTTCATAATTGAAAACACAAAATGATATAAAGATAAGAATTAATCTTGATCAAATTTTAAATTAATTAACATGCCTATAACATTGATCAATTAAACATACCCATGTTTGAAAGTAACCTTGTGTAATGGAACTATTAAGCCATGAACTCCATGCATTACATATTGAAAATGAACAGATCGGTAGAATAGGAGAGGTTGTATTCGAATAAAATGATAATTTCACAAGATCCTAAAATTGTCAACAGTTAAAAAGAAACCAAAAATAAGTATAACTAGAAAAATCAAATTGATTTACCTAATTAAACAATATTAATATAATAAGTTGTAGTAACATTAAGAACGATATACAGATAATCAATAAGTTACTTTTAATATTTCTGTATCAGGACGTAGATTCGGATCATTGAGAGAATTAGTGCATAATTTTGGAAACCATATTGATAAACAAACGAATACAGAGGAAATTGGTTGTAAAGTCCATGATTTTAAATATACAGAAGAATGCGGATGTGAACAATGTTTGATGATTGTTGTTGTTGTATCATTTAAGTGATGATGATGAAGTAGAAAGTGAATACATTTCACAATGATTTGTGTATAAGAATTCTTATGTGAATCAGATAAACAGCTAAATAAACGTAGACCAAGACACTGAATGTAAAATAAGGATTAAAAAACGAAATGAAAAAGAAAGAATAATTAGTACAAGAATTAGGCATATTGATAAATAAAAAAAATTATGCAAATCTATGTAGGAAAAGTAAGTACAGTCGTAACTATCATTTAGGATTAGATTTTATTGTGCAGTAAACATGAAAATGAAGGAGCACCATGAGGCAATGGTTTTTGATTTTTCAGCAGTAAGCATTCACAAACCGACAATACAGAAATGAGAATCTAGAACTTTTAAACTATAAGACTTATAGTTGAACTCCATTGACCAGAGTACTACAAAAGAAGTTTAACAATAGATCTTGTGAATTTTGCATAGTGATTTGCGATCATAGTTTAAGTTATAATCACTGATTACTTTTCAACTTTTTTCTGTATTCAGTTAAATCATACTCAAAAACTCACTGGCTGCATACACGGATACTGGATTTAACTGCAATGAACGATGAAGGACAGATGTTAGATAGTTGACGAAAATCCCTGGACTTTAGTTTTGTACTAGTTACTCAACAGAAAAGTTTACTTGACACATTTGAGAAACCAACGTTCCCTGTGAGATTCGAATGCGTGTCATCCAGCTTTGCAGTTTCAGATGTTGCATTAAATTATTCGGAACACGACTGACTCTCTTTACAATTGACATGTTTACAAGTGGCTATCACTAGGTGATGGTCAATATTATCTTTGGAATTTTATAGCTGACCGAATTCTATAGATCAATATTACAGGGATATCTTGGTGAAGAGTACCAGCTAGCAAGAAATTTAGGTAAACGGTTTTCTCTTGACTATCTGTAACCAGCTAACATCTCAAAATAGTGTACAGATTGTATCGAATCACTCAGACCAGTGGTTACAACGCAAATTGATCGGTAGAATTTGATCAGCACTAAATGATTAAACAAACATAATATTGGTCACAACTCAGTGATTAATCAACTATAAACGCTGATTGTTTATGACGAGACCTTATACTAAAAATTTGTTAATATTAACCATTGTTCTTAAAAAACAACTATCAAAATGATGAAGTTGATCAAAACTGATAAATTATTTGGTCCGCATGAAATAATAGTACAAAAATCTATTAAGTAGCTGTCAACATGCATAAAATACACTGAAACGAATAATTTTAAAAAAATAATATCTAATAGTACTTACTACTTCTATTAATAAATAAGAATTTTGAGATGAATTGACTGTCATATTAGTTACATGAAATAATTTGTCTAAATTCAAAAGTCGTTCAATCACTTGTTGTTCAATGATATTAGTTGATACTTTTTGTAAACGATTCATTGGAACAGGAACATAATACCAAACTAATGAACTGGACGTTGAATTAATCAAATCTGTATTTGAATTCATTTGGATTAATTTAAGTGAATTTTGATGAAAATAAACACTCTGAAATAAGAATAATAATAGTTTATTTTAGTTACTATAATTAAACAAGTAGTATAGAGAAATGAAAAGAAAATGAATGGAACTAATATGTTATCACGGTTAACTTGAGATTTATGAATTCACAAAGGAGGGAGTGATATCTTGAACCTATTATCTTTTTTATTTAAATATATAAATATAGGTATGAAGGGACACTTAAATATTTATGCGCCACACAAATCAATGAATTTTTGTACAGGCTGGGATGCTCACTGGCGGCCCAAAATCGAAGCAGGCGGTTTTCTTAAGAGCCTTTTTTGATTTAGAAGTTTAATCCATAATTCAATGCAGCAACTTTAAGAAATGCAGTTACACTCATGGTAACAGGTGATCAATAATAGGTTTATGTACCGTTTGCTCCTTTAAGATCTGGAGCTTATGAACACCATTGATTAGGATTCAGAGTTTTCTAACTCCCCTAAGTGAGTTCTTAGTATCTACCAACTTGTTTTAAATGCCATATATCGCTTTTTGGCCTTTCGATTTCACAAGAAACATCACCTACTAGATAAGGCAGTAAGTAGGACTTCCAGGCAGTGCCTATATGAGCGGGACCATATGAGTGCGGTTAGACACACCGAGAGAATGGACTCTCCTCAGTTTTGGTCATACCAGAGAATTTCAGGGCAACCACATGACTTACTTTTTCTACAGGGTTAAAATCATTAGTAATTTACATGAATTTTACATTTACGATCAGTACTATGAAGGTCTTTTCTTTACCCTGCTTCATAAGAGAATGAACAATGTTACTTTTGAATGTACACAATAAACAATCTAATTATTTTATTCAATAAATGTGACATTGTCATCAACTGATTTCATACATTAGCAAAAATCATAAACTTTAATCATCTTACTATAATTTCAATAATTTGATCGAAAATGAATTGTTTTACTGAAAGAATTACAGTTATCACATCCATATCACTTTGTACAGTTTATCATCTTGACAGATATTATATGGTAATACATAAGAGTGAAGTGTTTTTAATTGCTACATCTCAAAAGCATATTTTTCAGACTACAGGTTTTAATTTTGTTTTAAAAGCCTTTTATTTTATTAGATCATACGTTGATTAATAAGTCAACACAATTTCAAGATGATAATCTTCATGTTTGACAATTTCACTTATTAAGATAAACAAAGTGTTATGAAATTTTTTTTACTTTAAAAGAAAGTGAAATGTATTCCCAAGTCCATGAGAGAATTAATTTGTAACACAATATTGCCTTTTTTTAAATAGTACTCCATTTGCCTACTTACCGACCTGCTTTTTTTGCACGCAAATACTGTACCTTTGAAGTACCTGCTTTATAACTATGTGTTCATTTCATGTTATAGATAACTGACCACTTTATACTAAATTTAACCTGCCATATAGTTGTCAATTTGTTAATCTATTACGAATTATCTAAGCAATCATAAGGTTTGGTTATTGACATTTATTTCAACGGTGAAGAGCTGTTGTTCTATTTTAATTGTTTGTTTTGGGTGTCTAGTAAGTAGCCTTAGCTAACTCAGAAGAACTATAGTGGATTCTCTGTTAGTCGAATTTCCAAACTAGAAGCATCATATTTGAAGGTTACTTACTTGTTATGTGAAATGTATTTCTATTCATGGCAACTTTTCGAACGCGTTTATTTTCCGGATTGAAGTAAGGATAAGTATTGATTCGTTGTATTTAGTTTTTAAATCTCTTGCGCATTAGCTTAGCTTTACCTAACTAGATAAGGCTAAATATATATAAAAAGAATGATCTTTTCACACATTAGCTAAATATTTTCCCCATAAATAAACGAGAAAATTGTCAAATGAAATTATATATTATAAAATATTAAAGTTCATAATTTTAAATAACTCACTTGTTGTTTCGGTGTAAGAAAAACAATCAATCTTGAAAGTAGATGACTAAGACGAGATATAGTATATGACAAACTAAATGATTGCGATTCATTTATACCATTTTTTATTTGTAATTTTCTTGCAACATTATTTACAATGTTTGTCAATAATGTAACATAATGTAAACATAGATCACCTGTTCCATAACTTATTTAAAAAAAAGAAAAAAAAAACAATACAGCTCAATTCAAAAGGGTAAAAGTTTTGAATGTGAAATCATAATTAATATCATTTAAATGGTAGAAATTTGAATCTGCACTCAAAGCCAACTTTATGTACATGAGTATTCATAGTATATCAACGGACATGTGTTCGTATGCCTAACCACCGACTGCCTCGTCGAGCCTTGTTTTGTAGTGTAGGAGTAGGTTGGAAAAAAGTTAGGGGCGGCCAAACCAAAACATGGCACAAATCCATGAAGTCATTGACGAGTGGACTGAGACATGTCGGCAATTGTCGACTACCTGGTTGGGCTCCGCGAGATGATAATAATCGATGGTTAGAGACCTTGAATGACATGGCTCAAAATCGTTCGCAATGGCGCCGGAGCATTTATTCTTTGTGTTCTCTCAAATCCTAATCTTCTTGATTCTTCAACACCTCTAGTTTTGACTTTCTAAACTTATTTCACTGAATCATACTTCTTGAATAATAACTTCTAATCCTAACCTCTTCGATTACTTCTAATACCTTTACTAACTCTTCTACTATTGGATTTGAATTGACAATTACATCTATGTGCTGATGTGGTATGACAACATGAACTGATGTACTTACGTACGAAGTTCCACGTTGCATCTGACTGACTGAGTATATCAACGAGAATTGAAAAACTCTTATCTTTAAGCAATTAAATCATATGAACTTTAGAAAACGTGGTATATAACCCTACACTAGTAACCAGCTATAGTATAGAATTGCAACTAGGAATATTATTTCACTGTTTCATGAATTGGTCGCTTGAACAATCATTTGTTTCAGCCAGGGAAATTTAATGATATCACTATCCAAATGCAAACTGATGCATAATGTATGGGGTCGTGACTAGTGGAGTTCAGCTATGTTGAGTGTGAAGCAATGCCCACCTAAGACGACGGATGAGGTTGTACAAGAAAGTGGATTAATCGGTGTTGTTGGATGCCGGCTTAGTGGTTTGAAAGTTAAGCGTCTGAGCACGAGACTAAAGGTCCCGGGTTCGATTCCCGCGAGCAGGTTTCGTGGATGCACACTGTTGATGAGTCCCATACTAGTGGTTCTAGGATTCCATTAGTGGCCTAACATTGATCGATTCATGATATCAATGAAAGTCAACGATCTCCACAACCTTATCATGAACATAGAGCATTAAGTAATCAATATAAAAAATCATCTTAATCAAGTCATTTGAAAATGGTAAGTTTGCTAAATGAACACTAGATCTGATTTCCTACTAGCTTTTAAAAACCCTAGATTAAATCTCATGGCAACTTGAACACGAGTACAAAAAGAACGCTTTACTCTGATTTTAGTTTATATGTAGAAAAATGAGGGTATTTGTTGAGTTATTCATGACTTTGGGTGACTAGAAGTTCTGAGTACTATTCTAAATATGGTAGCTATATGGTCAAAGATCGAATCAGAATCGTGGCATGTGAATATGCATTTTCCAGATGTTTGTACAAAGGATTTGTTCAATCATGGTTGGATAAAATGTTTTCCGGCATATCTGGGCCCATACAGACTTTTCTGAGAGACATTTCGGAACTCTTTAACATGTTCATTTTTTAACACATGAATGAAATAGTTTAATATTTAGCATCTACTTCATAAAAATCAATGACATAACAGGCAGAGAGAAAAACTATATGAAATTACCGGGCAACAAAACACCACACATCCATTGATAACAAGTGAACCAGAGGATGATTAGATAGTACTGATGAAAGTAGAACTGTCTCCTAAATACACATTAACGAAAAAAGTTTTAAAAAGAACATTAAAATTTAAAAAAATCCATTGGTTTATTGAAAATAAAAGCAAGATGGACGGTAAAGACTGATATAAATGAAATATCTTATACATCTGACTACTCAGTGTGAATGTAAGACATGAAAATTTAGTAATTACTAATATCAAGAAAGACAGACTATGATAGAAAACTGATTTAAAGTATAAACAGTGAATTTATAGAAATAAACACTTAAAAACCATCTGTACTATTTACTAATTTAAATTAACGGGTATTTCAACATCATATTTAGATTAAAACAACTGAACAACTCAGGTTTATATAAAATAGTACAATTATTCAAGTTGTCACATTTTCTAAGATTTCAAGAAAAATGTATAAAAAATTATGGTGAGAGAAACAAATGAATAAATAGGATATAACAGTGATAAGATTAGTAGTTATTTAGCTTTCAAATAAATAAATTCTGAGGTTATCGACGACGTCTTCAATGTTCGACACGTATGTGGTACCCGACATTTCCAGTCATTTTTCTGTTCACTTAGTGGATATGTGCTGCATATTAAGATGTGATCTTCACCAGTAATCCTCCTTTAGACCCTAATGCTTACTATGCTTGTGTTTTTCAGTCGCCATATTAGCCTGCGGTATGTTGACAAATTTATGATTGATAGTTGAGAATTACTTCAGACACTTAAAGTGAAATCATTTGTGGAAATTACATTTTACTGTGCCAAACTCACTCATTAAATGAACGAGAAATAAGTGAAAGGGCTGAATACAACAGACTGAGAATTGGAAACGTTAAGGATAACCTCTATCGAAATAAGCAGTGGGTAGAATTTATTCTAGTGTAACGGACTTCAATCCACTATTGCAAGCTAGTAGCCATTGATTCGTTTTGAAGTTGCCATTTAAATTATTACCCTCCTTTGCACATACAGATTAGTGACATTTAAGGATTGATATCATATTTTCTTTTAAACCAATTGCCAGTAACAATATTGCTAACCTTAACAGATCGAGACATTTTACATTATTCTTGTGAGACTTTAATTTTGTATATTGACATTCTTAACGAGCTACTAAGAATGCTGTAAAAAGTGGAAATTTCCACAAGTGATATGTCATAGACAATAAATACAAAACAAAACCCCGTTAAAATCACCCACCTGAGCTACAAATCTTCTTCACTCAAACTCATCAAAATAAATTTATTAGTTTGTTGGGACGGTGGATTGATAAAAAATAATGTGTAAAACTCGAACGCTTTGCAATAAACTCTCAATAAATTCGAATTGTGAGTTTTCGCGTTCGCCTTTCTCACGTTGCTACTTTTTATTTTTCCCGCTTAAAGAGACATTGTTACCTTATTGATTTGGTTATGTTATTGTGCGCTATTATGTAATTTTATCCCGCAAAATGTTTTGTAAAAGATATAACAACAATATACAATTATACAATATATAATCTTCCGCCTTATTAGTGGAACAAATCGTCTGGACAAAGTTCAGAATTCTATTTTCAGTTAATGGGCAGGGGAGAAGAGAATAGGAATTAGTCTCCTTTATTTTAAATGAAGTCATCGTTATGAATTAGTAACTTAGTGTGCAGACATATCGTAATCCCATTAAATCATTTAACGAATAGGTTTATTGATATTTCTTTTAAAGATAGGAGATTGTTAAAACAATAACATGAATATTGTGATAAATTTCGCTAAAACTTATCACAATAAAAATAAGCCAATTCTACTGGGTGAGCCTAATAAAGAACTGAACATTTGAAATGTTTCAAACTTCCATTAATGACGTTGTAATTTAATGTGTCATTCTGCCTTAACTTCGAGAGTCCGAAGAAATTTGGTTTAAATTCCATTTTTCAGTATTACAAGTACATAAATATAATGTTAAAAACAGAATATATAAACTCGGTTGGTTAGTTGAAGAAACACAAATAAACAGTTGAAACATACAATAGAATTTGTAAAGCTTACCAAATAAGGAAAACATGCCATGGGTAAACCACAAACTGAAGCACAAATCTGTTGTAAAAGAGTTGTGTAAAATTCTCCAGAACATGGATATTTCTCATTATCAATCTCTACAGATAAAAAGTTGTTTTGATGATAAAATAGATTTATGACGCGTGTCTATAGTTAATAGCATTGAGAAGTTTCACAAATGATCATTAGGGCAAATAAAATATCCGTAAACAAGTGTCATTATTATACAAAACTTTTCAATCACTGTTAAGTGTAATTCACGGTGGAAAATGAATTCGTAAGATAAAATTTACTTCTGACTACTGGATAGGTCATGAGCCTATCGTTGAGTTGTTTTAAATCAAAGCAAAGCAATCGTCCAATACACTTTTGGTTTACAAAAATTCTCAAATTCATGTCAAACTTTGTCAAAAGTCATCGTTAGGTCCAATTTACTCACGTATACACACCTTGACATATTTACATAAATATATCCTGAAGAGCTCACTGCAATAAAATGGTGACTATTAATGATATTTATTTTTATTTGTTTAAAAATAACTTTTACATCCTAACATTTTTTAACAGATCAATCTACTATTAAATAGATAGACATTAGAAGAATATATACACAAAATAAGCAACAGATATTTTCAGTACGAATTCAGTACGAATTTACGTAAGTTTACACTGAACTAGATTATTTTACAACATAAATTCTTAAATAGTGATTTTAGGAGAGTGAACTACTTCATTTACTAAGCGAGTTATTTTATCTGCGGCAGAAATAACTACGAACAAAACTTCAATGTATTAAGCCAAGGTTTCAATTAGTAGGATTTAACAGTTTCTCAATCTGCACGCAAAAATTTTGGGTTCACTGACTATGGGGATAGATAAACTATAACTATATTGTAACGGATAGAACATGATGAAATCATTGAGTATTAATTCCTTTCTACCGGAACAAATGGCCATCTCATATTAAATTCAACAATCAAAATTCATAGGACTAGTCTATCTTTATTAGTTGAAACCCTGACTTATAAACATGAAGATCATTAGAAGAGAATGATAAGGACAAAAAAATTTCTAAAACAGCAATCCATCTCACTAATATCCACTAGTTGACTAATTATTTTACAGAAATAAACTATCTAGTTACTACTCTAACAATTTATCTGACCTATTATTGTTCTTAGAAATGTCTTAAAAACTAGTAAGAAGTGCTTTTTGAAGTTGACCACGATCTGAAGGAAAAAACACGGTAACTTAACGATTGATGATTTGCTCAATGATACAATGTGGAATATTAAGTAAAACGTTGATATTCATAAAAATCATTTCAGTATATTGAAATAGTTAATGAAGTTTTTTTAAATAGTTCGATTGTTATTGGTTAACAACTGATGATATAGCCGTACCATGTTGAATGTACAGATGGTCACTATATGTAGATTTATGTAATAATCGATCGATAAAAAGACTATGTAATGCTTTTACTAGTGATACACTTGTAGAGAAACATATAAATAATAAGACATAATGATAAATACTAAAATAGAAATAATTAAGCACCATCTAATATATACTACTTAATATTACTACTATTATTATACTTACCATTGTTTTTACCAGATAAACTTAAATCAATTTTTTCACATGCTTTAAATAATTCTTTATAAATATTGAAACTATCATTCATCCAACGAGAATAAAAACCTAAGTACGAAAAGAAAAAGGAAAATTTAAATTTTTTTTTATCTGCTATTATTGTTATGCTTCATTGAAATTATACATTATTAAATAAATAACTATTTCCTTTATTAATTTGTATGAATAAACAAAGTTATCAGTCGTTTGAGAAGTTATTAATTTGAAAACTCTAAGTTAAAAACTATTTGTGATGTGCGGTTTTACGAATTGACCATAACAGTAAAAAACGAATTGATTCTGTAAACTTTGAACATACCATTATACTTTGTTTAGTTACCGAAATTCTCAACAGACTGTTCACATGTAATGGAATTTTGTCAGTTGTAAGTTTTTGTTTAAATCAGTGAATCGAATTTTTCATAACAAAGTTTTTTATAAAGTAATTTTGAGGAATATACTCCAATACAAAGAAAGTATAAAGCATCAAGCAAATCTTATGTATACTAATCTACCGCGAATTGTTACGTTTATGAAACGCTCGTTGTACTTGTAATTAGAAAGGTATATCAAATCAACTTAACAAAATCATATGAAAACATAGCACCACTAGACGAAATCATTAAATGTTAGTCTGAAAACTGTAAAGTGGTGAATGTATTCTGTGAATAGTCCTTAAAATATAGGAAATCAGTAAATGAGGCTTGAAGATGGCACTTCTTGGGATTAAACATAACGATTAGAAAAGTTGATAAACTCATTTTCCATCTTTACTTACCAGATATTCATTTACTGCTATATCAGAAAGAAGATTAGACGAATGATAACGTTGAGGACTGATTTACGGACCATTATTATTATTATTATTATTATTATTATTATTACTATTATTATTATTATTACTGTATTTAGTCATATTGTATAATTGTTCAGTAACCAGATTATATATATATAAATACATATATATATATATATATATATATATATATAATTTTTATCTTCCAGTTAACTTATTAACTACTATTGTGTGATTTATTATTTTTGACCTATTGCTAGTTTATTATTATTAGAATACAAGGAATTTTTGGAGACCAGCTACGCGCTTTCGAACTTAGAGGTAGGGCTAAATGAAAGAAGCTATCACATCGTGTACAAAAAGTAATTAGAGCTGACGTAAGGTTTCTGGTGCTAAGATGTAATTCTTATCTTTGTTTGATATTTGTTACGTGGTATTGGTCAACAGTCAAGTATACAACATTTTTTACTGTGTAAATATATCCTTCTACTTGTTTACTACGGTATCTTTCCACTTTTTTCGACTTCTCAAACTATAAAATTGTAGTGACCTCACATATTTGAATTTGCTTACATTTTATTAGGTCAAGCCTTTCGGTTAATTTATTTAACCAGGTCATTTGTATAACAATAACTTATATGTACCATTGGCTTCTATTATTGTATGGTTTGTATGAATTGGTATGACTGAACATTGTTTACACCTATGCACATATTCGCTTTAATATTAATCTCTTAAATATCACGATGACTCAGATATCTCCCTTTGTATACATACGAACATTTTTATCTTATCAATTCATTCGCACATTCGCACATTCACTCGCTGGTGTGTCTGTTCGGTTTGCTTGAGGTCTGCTATCATTTTTGTGGTGTGCCACAATAAACGTATTCAATACTACGAGTTTACCTTCTTATTTATAACCGTCAGACGCCATCTATCTAGTAACGATTGTCTGAACGAGCTAATTACGAAACTTAAGAACACCTCGAAATCGGCACACTACAAAATGTCCTAGGTGGTTACAGTTGTCTTTTACTCTTCAGTTCAACTATTTGTAAGTTTAGTGTTTCAAACATTATTCCATAGTTGTAGAATTACATTTTTAAACAAATACAAATTTTTATATTTTAACATTTTTCAACATAGTAGAATAACAGATGAATTATTTTTATAAAAAAGATAACTAATTAATTCATAGAGAAACAAACAAAAATAAATTTTTAATACTTACTAGGATGTTGAGCAATATTGCTTAAAATTTTACCATAAATTCGACAAATCACTGGTGCATCAAAATCTATAATAATATTAACCAAAAAAAAACAATAGGTATTCTGTCATAAATGTTTACTTATTATGTAGGATAATTTATAGATATTACAGTTGGAATAACCAAACAACTTTAATGGTCACAATTATTGAAATGAACTAAAAGTCAAGACCATTGTCCACATTAAATTTCGGCTTGTTACCAAATGCAATTCATACGGATTTAAATTATGTTAGATAAACACTTTTGATATAAAACTAAAATGTGATTCATAGGCCTTATTAAGTTCCTACCGTTTTACATAAAAATAGGATATTGTGAACTAGTATTCACTTGTTATAATTAAATGATATTAACAAAAGTAGTAGTATTGGGAGAAAGTAACGTATGCAGAACTTATTGGAACATTGTTTTTAATAAATAAATTCCTTCAGATCATTTATAGATATGTAGATTAAGATTTAAAAGAAAGATTATGGAGAACGGCTAATCGATGACCAACTTCCATGAAATATTTCAGTTGCTTAATTACAAATTACAATCTGATTTACCACTAAGACTACCAATAAGCTATGTAACATTTTCTGGCTAAACATTAATAGTTGTTTGTAAATTTTGAACAAGGAATAGTTTTATAATGTGAATAAAACTAAATAAATTGTTTTAATTGCCTTGTTTTCAAGTCGAATTAAACTTGGAAGTTGATGTGAATATACAAGGTGATGAATAAAAAACACAAATGAACTACAGATAGATCAACATTGAAACCATATAAGACACAAAATGAATTTGTATTGGTTGATAACTTCATAAATAGAAGCAACATTTTGATTATAATCGTAAAATAAATCAATGGCCAAGTAAGTACATGTTGATGCATTCAACCATAAACTACATTTTATGTGTATGCACTAGTATCATTGTCCAATTGCTTAAGCCTACATAGTATGGTAGATATTACTCACAACTTGGCTTCTGAGTGATATGCAGTGGAGTGTCGTCAAAAAGTTGCTACTGGAGTGAAGTATCGGATACGGATGTATGGTGCAATCAAAGTGTATTGAAGACTGGAAGACATGTGAAAGAAGACAGCCAACAATCTGCTTGTTTTGCAAACGGAAGTTAGAAAGTAAGGTGTACACATTTTGTTAATGAACTGTGTCTTCTTTAAATACACTAGTACTACTTAATCTGGTCTTGACGTCTTCGTTCATTACAATAGTAGGATGAAGACTCAAGCCTGTTACATTAGAGCTGAGAATCGGATGCTTTAACCACTAAACCATCATACAATTAGGTTGTCATTAAAATTACTGTCTATTTTCTCAACGAGAGAACAATATTTTTTTAATGTCATCTATTCTCAAAAAAGCATCACCGTGTCATGAGTATCAACCTAATTATAAAAGCATAAAATCTATGAGTTCACATAGATGTTATAATGAAAACTAGTTAGATGGGCAATACCTCAGTTTTTTACAATCACAAAGAACAATCAACAATTTAGTATGTTAAAAACAATCATCATACTTGAATGAGTTATTGCTTGAACAAAAACTGAACATTCTTCTCGACTTTCACAAGGTGGATGTAAAGTTATCATATGAGATAGAATGATATCAGTAGAAAGAAAGAAAGAATTATTCAATTCTTCAGCAATTTTAACAGGAAATTTCGAACCTAAAGGATATAATCCACCAGCGTAAGATACACTGAAATATCAGAAAGAAAAATTAGAATGAATATTTACAATAACCTTGAAAAATGAATAGTTACTCATCATCAAAACGGATGGAAAATATTTTATGATATGAAAGTCTTAACTAATAGTAATATAATTGAGGGATTTACATATGACAATAAAATGGTGTTTAAAAAAAGCATCCAGTTATAAGGACCTTGACAAGAAGGAAATAACTGAGCGACTAAAGGTCGAGTGTTTCGATTGCTGAGAAAATCAGTCAGCTACAACGTAGAACTTCGTACGTAGGTACATTAGTTCCAGTTGCGACACCACATTAGTACAGAGACGCAATCGTCAACTCAAATTCCATAGTAGTAGTATTGTGGTGTGTGCTGCTTATACGAACGATATAAGTAGTATAAGAAGGGACGTGAAAGAAGTCTCACGGTCACAAGAGGAAAACGGAAAGCAAATGGAGCAAAAGCAAGAAGTAAATGGAGTACCAACAGGAAGTAAAGGAAGCAACAGCAGGAATGGAAGAAGGCTGGAGCGTTGGAAGTCAGGACTCAAAGATGGTGTGCAAATAGAGTGTTCAATGTAATGTTTTCGTTTTTAATTGACTAAGAGTGTAAATTTGCATAATACAGTCTCCCGCACCTGCCTCAGTCTTCTCAGTATTGGCAGTAATCTAAAAGATTAGGGATCGAAAAGTGTCATTCGAGAAGTATATCCTAGTGAAATAAATTTACAAAGAGAAAAAATTCATAAGCAACTCAGAGGATTATAATTTAAGAGAACACAGAATTGATGCATTTGTGCCATTGCAAACGATTTTGAGCCATGCCATTCTAGGTCTCGGGGACCTCGACCTGGAAGTCTACACCTAATATGAATCAGTCCACTTGTCAGTGACTTCATGGATTTGTGCCATGTTTTCGTTTGTCAGGCCCTAGCTTTCTTCCAGCCTAACCCTTCATCAGATAACATCTCTCGTCAAGGTAGCCGATGGTTGCGTATACGTAACACATGTCCCAATCACCTAAGCTAATGAAGATTCACTACTTCATCAACTGACTTGCCACTGTTTTCTATTGCCATTTTCCTAACTGCAGTATTGCTTACTCGGTGGTCCCAGAATATACCGGCGATATTTCGAAGACACCTATGATCGAATACTAGTAACCGACGAATATCCTCGCTTCTTAGTGGTCACATTTCACACTCGTAAACTAAGTTGAAGAGAACTGCAGCGTAATAAACTCGTCCCCTGGTTAGTGGACAGATATCTCGTCTACGCTATAAAAGCGAGTCGAGCTTTCCGAGATTTTATCCGTGCAAAGATTTCGTCACACATCAGGCCATCAGAACTGATGGGACTGTCAAGATAAGTGAAGCGGCCAACACGCTCGACTACTTCACTGCCCACCACTAGTTCAGGTGCCAACGCAAGCAAGTTGCTTGCATTTCTGAAGTATTCAACACAAATCGCAGAAACTATTTTTTCGCACTTATAAGTATATGTAGATGATTACCAGGAGGAAGGTGAATATTGATTAAGGTAAATCCATCGGCTGCTGCAAAAAATTACACCTAGTAATGATCACATTAGGAAAATTTCACGTTTGGGAAAAATAACCAATGTTTTTAGGTGAAGACAGTTTATGTTCAGTTCTCCTTCACTGTTAGTATGAGATTTTGTGAGAAGAAAAGAACTTTTTTCGTTCAAACAAATGGTTGAAATAATAATTAACACTTAGTTTAACAGGATCTGTTTATATATATGGTGAAATTTTCAGCAAAGAATACTGTAGCAGCTATCTCGTATATCACATTTTTAAAAGATGAATATTTCAAAAAATTTAAATGAAGAACATAAAACACAAAAACCGATATTACAACAATGATGAACAACTATTTATTTCTACTGTTAGAAACTATTTCATTACAAAACACATTAAAGTGGAACAAGACATATTTGAACTTCTGTATACAGCTTCTGGGTGTATAAAATCTTGCTTTGTTAAAACATTAACAAAGAATTCTTAAGAACTACAAGTGTAATTTAGAAGTACCCAATGAAATTTATTTAGTCAAACGTGAACTCACGAAAAATAATATTTTCATTTATTTATCATAAAAGAGAATTTTAACTGTAACAGTTCAAATATATCTAACACTAACTAATTCGAAAAGTCAGGGAGAAAATTAAACTAACCAAGAATCACGGACAAGCTTAATCAAAACACATTTTACTGAATATCAAAAAATATTAACGGATAAGTAAAAATCTAGGAAATTATTATCTATGAAACTTTAAGTGTATTCATTTTGATGGCTGTTTCTTGAAAAATTGTTTTGAGAAATCAATGAAGAGTATGTTTGACTGCTATTTTATTTGCAATTGTGTCACATGCAAATGGTTTATTTGAGTTATAGAACAGGTCAATTAATTTATTCACAGCATGTTCAATCATTTTTTCAAATTGGAGTCAGATCCTGGACTAAAAAATTATTTTGCTAAATATTAGTTATTGACAAAAGTGGATGATTGTTCTCAATAGTAGAGTTACAGTTATTAGTTAGTTACTGACACTACGTTTTATTGAAGCATTTTTACTTCATTGAGAGTTAAGAATTGCTTACATCTAAATGAACAGACCTATTACTTAAAATTTCATAAAGCACTACGAATATTTGTGGTTTTGACGTTTAAAAAGTGCATAAATTGATAATTGATAAATGGAAGTATATAAACATTTGGACAACAATAAAAGACCAGAAAAAAACATGTCTAAATAGATCATACTTAATTGTCCACGATAGCCAATCCATAAAAGTAACCACTGCTCGTGAATTAAGATCAGAAGTTAAAATTTCTTTTGTAAATTCTCGAATACAGAAAGTGAATATACGACTAAGCAGATTTAACATTTGTACATTATTTTCTGTATTCTCCACATTCATTTTGTTTGATTTTATTCCTCTCTAGAAAGTAAAATGTTATGAGAAAAGTAATGCGCATTCAACTCATTATGAATTGATGCTAAAACTTATTGTTATAACTTAATAATACTGGAAGTCGTCTCTAAGCTGCATAGTTTAATCATTAAGCTTTTATCGTTCTTCTGAACGTCAACAACATGTACTTTAAAGAGATGGATAACTGACTAACAGCTTGTTCTGTTGGCTTGAAACTTGATTGGTTTTTATATGTAGCTGTATGAACGATGCATTAATTTTAGTTGTTTTCTCTTCTGACATGAACTCTGAGGTTGCGAAAGTTAATTCATTTTCTTATTAGCCGATAGATTTGGTCGGTTTCGATGTCTATTGATTAACGGTTGATTAAAGTGCCAGAATTCTAGAATGTTTTTGGTTTTTTCGTGTTTCTCCTAGCAATGCTTCTCCAGTCGAACTTATATCCTTAGTTCTCCACATTAATTAATATGAGAGAGGCCATATTGTGTCGTTTAAATTTTAACTGATGTTCATAAAGACGCAGAAAAAAAGGGCTGCTACCTTATCTTATCATGAATATGACTACTCATTGTGATTCCGAATCACCTGCTACTTTCAAAGTGTGACAACTGAACAAAAGTGGAATAGTTTGGCGCAGTGGTTGATACAAAGATTGTAGATGGAGACTAATTACATGCCAACAAAACTACGCAAGAAACCGACGAGTTCTATAAGATTTTCTATCTGATCAACAGTCAAAACTGAATACATTGAACTAGGAAGTATTCGAAGTAAATTGATAGATGACTGAATCTGTGTACACAATCTATATCAAAAGATCGAACTGCTTTAACTAATCAGCATAACTACATCATTGAATAACATATTTTCTCCTTTATAACATTCTTTACTGCTTCAAACACTAGATCATTTTCTTTTGATGTAATTCTACATATACATTTAAAACATACACAAAGGTATACTAAAGTGATTTAGGTCAGATTTTATTCGAATTATTTTTAGCATTTCAGACAACATGTAAAGTATGATAGCTACCAATATTTTGGATAAAACTAGTGGGAGATATGTACCGCATGCAGTACACAGGCTTTTGTGAGTGAGGGTACGATGATTACTTTACGTTTAGCTTTCCATACCTATACAAATAATTTAGTCAATAACTTGATCGAAATATGATCTGAGCTTTAAGAAATGCCAAAGGTAGGTTGTCTATTTAAAGATCCTCCTGGTGTTTTATGAAACTAGCTTGGTCATGTTTACACAACCCCATTTTAGCTGCTATGAATGATGATATCCAGTTACTTTAATAGTATCAGGTTAGGTAGAGTTCTAACCTAACACTTATCAATTGAAAGCTGAGCGCTTTAACAATCATGAGAGCGCATGATGGGTATAACAGGATGATTTGTAGAATCATACACATAAATCTACGCTCTTATGTATTCTAGTGTTTCGAATTGCAGTAATTTATTGTATTTACAGGTATTTCTAAGTCAAAATTTGATTGATTCCATTTACACCGATTCTGATTAACATTCAGTCACGCTAAAATGTAGAAAAACTAGCAAAAGAGGGGTAAAATTATCAGCGCAAGCTTTTCGAGCATAGTGAAAAGTGGATAACTAAATACGTTAAGTCTCAAAAAAACTAACTATTCTTTTGAGGTAACTTGGAACTCACCATGCACGAAAGGCAACATTTGTCATAATAATGGTGCAGCGAATGAACAATGGAATTCAATATGCTGCCAAAAAGAGTGTCAGGGGATTTGCTTCTAGAAGTTTCTCGTGCGTAGTTACGAATCTCACATTTGAATTGTTTCATAATGCTGAAAATAACGTGGAAAGTGAACACTACCTGGATGCGAATTTCCATACGGGGAGGCTGAACGATTCGCCCAAAACATCAGCTACTTGGGCAAGACTCATAAGCTCCTGGCTAGCTTAATTAAATACTTCTATTAAGGTAAGAACAAACCTACCAAGTCCAAAAAGACTAGACTTCAGTGAATCAACCTTGGAGATGTTATGTTTTAGTACCGACAGAAACCACTAAATAATGTACAAAGAAGTATCATGACGAATTACACATTGTGTTCCAAACAAGGAATTCATGATACTAGAAGGTTTTTCATTTTCATGTATGGTATCGTTCTCATCATCCACCCTGTATCCATCCGCAAACTCGTCCATATGATCTGAAACGTAGCAATAGCACGCCCGTAAACATCCAACGAAGCCAGACATAAAAGCACAGAACTTGACGTCATTCTGCGAAGTAACTGATTTTGGATCTAATGATTTGCACTTGTCCACCAAATGTATTATGAAATTTCTATTAATCTACAAAAATTTATATTCTTTCTTATAACTTACGTCAACCTTTCGAAGGTTTACTTCTGATTTTTCATTTGTGCAAAAAAACGTGAGCAACTGAAGATTATTTTAGACTAATAGACCATTACCTCGTCAAGGTCACTCATCCTCACGACCTTAAGCTTCGAATTATTGCCACTCAGTTTACTTTTCACGAGCTAGTATAAACAGATTTATTGTTCGAGCCTACTTCTTTCAGTATTTTGAAGTGTTCAGTTGATGGGCTTCTAGCCACTTGACTGCATTAATTCTAGTTAGTTGAAAGCTGTTCATGAATTTGTGGAGTTTCTAGACACCGACAGCTATCGCATTACCAGACCAGAGATCACTTAGTTGCAATGTGGACAATCATGAGAAGAAAATTCTAATGCCAGTAAGAAGATTTCACAGCTAAGCAAATAAATAGATAATTAGGTTAATTAGTTGGTGTTGAAGACTGTGCGGAAGGATGGGAGTGTAAGCGAAGGAAAGGAAACAAAGATAACAATCAAGATAGAATAAGTTAGCGATATGAGAAAATAATAATAGTAACAACTAGCCACTTTCGAGACATTCATTAGACACAGCTGGTCCACAACGGAGAATATTATCCGTATGTGAGTAGGGGTTTATCAAGTCTCTTCTTAAAGCTGTTCATTGAGGGGGCTGTGGTTACCTCAGCTGGAAGAACATTCCAAGTTGCAGCAACTCTTCGTGAGAAAAAGTGTCCACACACCTGAGTGTTCGCCCTCTGATGTGCAGATTTTCTGGGATTACCTCAAGGATCGGGTTGATGCTTAGTAGGATGCTCCTGTTGGGATAATTTGGTGTGTTTAGTATGATGTACGCCATTATCAGCTCACCTCTGATATTCCTGTAACTCAGAGATAATAATCCCGGATGCCGGAGTCTATCTTCGTAAGTTTGATAGTTCTGGGGTGACATCACCAAGTTGTCTCCGCATAAAGTGAAGAGTCACATTTGCCTTGGCTGCGTCCCCTATATAGTTAGATCTGGTGTGGAGGCTTCCAGTGGTTATAAAATGGAGATTGCGCTCTGAGGAGACATTTAGGAGCGGACTTCCATCGAGGGTGTAAATCTTTTGCATAATGTCTGGGAGAATGTACATAAAGTGACGTTTCGACTTGTTTAGTTTCAAACCATTTTTCACTGCCCGGTCCTCCACAAATGGGCCAAGATAGGAATGGGTTAGTGAAGTCTGTTTACACAAGCTTCGCAGTTAGAATTGAGTGGGTAACTGTGTCAAAGGCTTTTGCAAGGACAATAAACTTAATGTGCACCGGTATGTTTCGGTACAGCATGTTGACTAACGGTCCCATGCCATGAGAAGATTTGGTGAGCACGACCTGCCTTTCTGAAACCCGGGTTAAACTTGATGGACAAAAGTGTCCTCATCCATGCACTCTCCCATTTGCTCACCCACCTGTCCTTACTTCACGTTCGATATCATCATAAATAGTGCAACTACTTTGTAACAGGCTAGGTTCCTCCTATTTTTTTCTTCGAAGATTAGGCAGAGAGTAGCTTTTACCATTCAACTGGGAGTTGGTGTGACTCCAGTGAATGCCTGAACATGGCGCATATAGGCAAAATGAGGGCTTTTGCACACTGTTTCAAGACAGATCTGGTCTGACATGGCTGTAAACTGTCTTTGTTGTAAATGACCTACTAATTGAAGGACTTTATTGTCCAATTATGTTGATGTGACTCATGATTTTATTCATTTGCATAAGACACGGTATATTGGTCGGTATCTTTGCTCGTTTCAATTATTAACTGTAATTTCTTCATTTATTGTACTAATCTAATCGTTTTTATGTTCAGAAACAGATAAAGTTTGAAGCCAAGTTGTCCTTGTTCTGACTATAGCTTCCCAACCTATTCTGTATTCTTCAATGCTGTGTTTACTATTATAGCAGTATATCTGTAGGAAAAATCAGATCCCACAACGGGTGTGTTTGTGCTAGCAATACCACGCGGACAAAAATGGTTTTTGATTTAAAGCCAACACAATGGTAAACGCTGTCAAGAGAGATATAAGCAAGGTCAAGTGACATGGGTTTGATTATGCCCTCTCCATCGATTCATAAATTAATGTCCGGCCATCTCAAATGAGCTAAAAGTCAAGTGAATTACAATTGTGAAGACAGGGAGGACCGACCAAAAAATGTTTGTCATGAACAGAAACTCCAGTATGCAGATTTCTCCCGTGCACTGCTCTGCAAGTGGCGGTAATCGGGGAACGCCTAGAAAGCTTAGTCTTAGGACACGATTTGCTTCTAGCAACAAAAGTAACAGCCCGATTAATGAGTTCATAAACAATCATACAGGTTCTCACGTTTTGTGTAACGCTACTGTGACTTGTGCTCTAGTGAAACTGGTTGATGAATACAAGAATGCGAAAAGACTGGTTATCTTCACGAAAAGGCGGTCTTCTTTCAATTTACTGAGAAATATCAGAGTGGCGAAAGTGATATTCCATTCATATCTTAAAGAATCGAAAGTTGATTGAAACCCATAGCTTGCAGTGAACTTTATAATGAGTGACAACCTCAAGATACTTCTGGAGTCACTTTGTTGAAGGTTTAAAGAGCAAGCAGACAATTATAATTGGAGAATGACAAAATAGGCTAGTAGATGTGACAGATAAACCTCCGAATGAAGGATATTTATTACTAAAGTGTGTACATAAAATAAAGCGAAAGGAGCGTAATACCTGTAAACAATTATCGCTCACGGACCAAATGAATAAACGAAAAATTGGAAAAGAATGGATGCTTTTGTTTGACTGTCAATAAGGGCTTCAGCATCGCAAATTTTCTAAAATGCTTCAACAGGGAATTATGCCACTTAAGTTTTTTCGGATCTATTACACAAATGAAAGGGTCGCTCAACAAGTTATCGGAATTAACTGTACAACTAGACTCTGTCAAGTAGGATGTAATCCCAGACACAAAAACTTGGCTGACTCAGTATGCAGATTGGAGAGACACTGACTTTTAACGCTTCACACAAACGTAGTATCACTGATGCTGTTCAATTAAACACAAAAGGCGCTAATGGGATGGAAATCTCATGGTCCCAGGATCATTAAAGCATCCTTCAAAACAAAGAAAGAGGACATTACAATGAACTTCATTCAATGCTAAACACCTACCAACGACTACAATGACGACGTTAAAGATCAATCCTACGAAAGGCTGCAGTCAATCGTCGACACTTGGTTCACCAAAGGATTTGCGATTCTGATGGAAGACCTAAATGACAAGGTTGACATGGACAACACTGGACATGAAGACATCATGGGACAACATGGATTGAGAGAAAGGAACGAAAATGGTGAGAGATTTGTGCTCTCAACAAACTGATCAACGGTAGCACGGCGTTCCCACACAAACGTATACACAAAGCTTCATGGATATCAACGGATTGCACTACTCAGAACCAAATCGACCTTATATATTTATCAATCGAGAATGTGAGAACCAAGAGAGGAGCTGATATAGCTTCAGATCACCACTTGCTGATCGCCAAAATGAAACGGACACTAATGAAGCACTAGACAACGGGGCAGACAACATCACAGAAGTTTAATACAGCCTTTCTTCGGGATACCGTAAAACTCAGCGACTTCAAAATAGCCCTCAGCAATAGATTCCAGTCCTTGCAGTATCTACTCAATGGAGAGGAAACAACCTTGAAGAACAAGGAGGCAATCACTTCAAAATATCACGAGCTTCTGGGCCACAAGAAGTACCACCAATAGAAATGGGTCTCTGTTGGTACTCTTCAAAACATTGAAGAAAGGAGGGACAAGAGGGTAGTAATCAAAGTCAACCGAACAAGAGCAGAGAGAGTTAAAGCACATGCTGAATATATAGAGGCAAACAATCAAATGAAGAGGAGCATCAGAGCCGGCAAACGTAAATATAGGGAAGACCTAGGAATGACGGCGGGGAAGGCTGCAGGAGAAGGAAACTGGAGACAATTTTACGATACATCAAAGAAGCTCACTGGAAACTTTCGCAAACCAAAACGACCAGTGAAAGTTAAGGAAGTCTAAGTAATCAGCAGCACTGAAGAACAGCGAAATAGTTGGGTAGAGCACTTTAAAGAACTCTTGAATCGACCAGCCTCATTGAACCCACCCAACGTCGAAGCAACATCCACGGACCTACAATTGAAGAGATCAGCGTGGCCATCAGACAAATCAAGAGCGGCAAAGCAGCAGGACCAGACAACATTCCATCAGAGGCAATGGAAGTAGACGTGGCATCAACTGAAAAAATAATTCTTATTCTCTTAAACAAGATATGGGATGAGGTACAAGTACCATCAAACTGGAAAGAAGGATAGCTCGTCAAAAAACCAAAGAAAGTCGATCTCAGCATGCGTGAGAACTACAGAGGCATCACTCTTCTTTCAATACCAGGCAAAGTCTTCCACATGGTATTGTTTACTAGAACGAAGGATAGCCGGGATGCAGCTGGACGATCTGGGCGTGACAGCTCTTCTATCGCACACGCAACAACAAATGCAAGAAAAAACGAACAGTGTAGCAGCAGCCTCAGAAGCAGTAGGTCTCAACATACTTGAAGGGAAAAACAAGATTCCACGATACAACACAACATGCGCCAACCAAATTACACTTGGCGATGCCTTGTTTACAACTTTGTTTGTGACTATAAAACTTTGGTCCTTCCGCAGAAGAAAAGGTGTCCGGTATCCAAATACTCAAAGAACGATACATCAGAGATAAACAGGGAAGAGAATAACAACATCAGGAAAGAGAAATTTAAGAGTGAGTGGATATAAGTAAACTTTGGAGATAAGAAGTGATGATATCAATAAATACCGTACGAAAAGAACAAGAACCGAGGGCAAAAACATCAATTGGTTTATATTAGCTCGTGAAAAAGATATTCGGTTTTGGATGCTGGATGGCATAAGAACTCTAAGCTGGGTTTCACCAAAAAACACTACGAAAAATTCTGAATATTTACTGGAAGATTCAGAGATATTGATTCAGCTTATAATCTCAAAGATTCAACTTCAGATCTGACTGACCTAGATAACGCGCCAAGTATTGGCACATTCAATGGAATCTGAATTAGGCTCCTATA